TCTCTCTCTCTCTCTCTCTCTCTCTCTCTCTCTATCCAACTCGCTCACCCACCCTGTGGGAGCGGCACGCACAGCTATAGGGGATTGATTTCAGTCGCTCGCCCGATGGGCTCCGCGCGGTGGGCGGCGATGTGGAGCCGCGCGAGGAGAACAAGGGAGCAGAGGGCTTTCTCCTGGACGAGTAGAAAACACCCGCCGCGCACCCAACCACCCACACCACCACCGCGGGGTGTGAAGCGCGCAGCGGCGAACCGAACGCTTTTTGGGGGGAAAAGGCGAAGAAAGACGGGAGAGTCGGAGCGAAGCGGGCGGCCGGCTGAACGAGCCGAGTCAATGCGCCGTCGACATCCTCGCGGGTGCGAAAACATCGAAACCTTCTTTCCGTCCTTTCCCTCACCGCCACCATCAAAAAAAAATATCGTCGTAAATTTACAAAATGTTTTGTAAACTCGAGTTATAATTAAAATTGTAAATTTTCGAAAACACATTTTTTACTTGCCAATAGATTTTAAGTCGACACGTGCTGCATGTATTTTTACGATTTCAAATTGTAATTTTACAACTTCGGTCAAGGAAAATTTCCCTGTAAACCTTCCTACTATTTTTCGCAGTGACCCATGACTTGGTATTTTTTATTTTGGAGGGCAAAGCTGTGTATGAGAAAAATTTTAAACATGTGTAACATTGCATGCAGTGTTTCTGAGTTTCTACTGCATATGCCGGCGCGCTTGTGCGGTAGCTCATTTCGTCGGCGATTGGAGCAGACCTTGTTACTAAAATACATCCGCAAAATCTTGTCGGTTGGAGTTATTACTCGGCTCTTGTAATACCGACATGCTGCCGGCGCTCCTTACTCCTCGCCGGGACAACTCTGCGGCCGAGGGACGAGCACTAAATAAAGCCTGTCCCGGGAGAGTTCTCGGGTTTCCAGGGGTTTGTTTTCATTTCCATCTCCTTGCCGTTGCTGTTGCTGCTCGCCGCCCCGGTGGGGCCCCGGCGGCGGGGCCGCGCACGGTGAGCGCCGTACAAGCTGGGAACACGGATGCAAAAGGCTTCAGACTTGCGTGCTGTTGTGTTAGGTTGGGAGCCGTCTGGGGCTGTGAGGGGACCGCGCCGCCCTCGCCTAGCGGGCCGCCGCCACGCTCCGGCGCGCCCTAGCGGTGGCCGAAGGAATCCGCAGCTTCGATGTATCGAAGCGGCGGCCGCCGCCGCCGGCCAGCACGTGTTACCGTTAATACCGAACCGTTTCGTGTTGTTGTTGCAGTTTTATTTGTGCGCCGGTGCAAGCGGGCCACTTTGGCGCGACCTTCCCCTCTCTTCATCCAAAATGCATGCGTCGCCGCCGTGTCGACCTTGCTGGGAGGGTGACGTCAGGCCGGCGCCGACCATTCGGATGACAGCGGGCCGGTGTCACCCACCGTCATCGGCGAGGGCGGCCGGTGTCACCCACCGTCATCGGCGAGGGCAGCCGGAAATCATCCACACGAAAGTAAATATAAATCAGCTTAAAAAACTATCGATAGACAAACAGAGAAAAATAGTAAAAACTAGCAAACCCAATTTTTTTAATATTTGGTTTTGATCACCAAGTATCATCTTTTCTGAAAATAAAATTATCCTTTCTTTAAAATCCTTTTTTTTATGCGTCCAATAGGTTTCAAAAAACAGATAAGAGTTGCGTTGGTTATCGCAAAATGCCCGCGGTGGTACTGTCATCTGACAGTGGAAGTGATTAATTTTCGCGCTCGCGTCCGGACTAAATCGCGCACTAAATCGCCGCTTTCCTCGCCCTCTCCGCAGTCAGTCACCCTTCTCGTCGCTTCGCGCCGCCGCCGTCCATTTTTCACATCGCCACGGAGTAAAGACCCTGCGGTGCCCTGGAGGCCCCTGGAGGCCCCTGGAGAATCCTCAAGACTCCAGGAGAAGTCCCCCCCTGGAGAAGCGCCGCGCGACCGCCCGTTTCATGGCTTGTAAAGTCGTTGCGATGCAGAGCTTCTCGGAAGCAATCCATTCCATCGCACCGGCCCAGCCGTGCAATATTTCCCTAGCGGCCTTACGGCCCCGCTCCGGCCGGCCGTTTCTTTCCGTCCCGTTTTGCGATAAATGTCATCGCCGGCCTCTTTGGGGCACCACCGTCCGCGCAGCGCTGTTGTTCACCCATCTCGCAAGAACGTAGCTCTTAGACTCATAATTGAATTTGGAATAAGAGAAAGAAACAGTTTCGTTTGACGAATCATAAAATTATAACCCTAATGTATGCATGCAAAATGGTATCGATATGATGATACAGAAAACTTTAGCCTAAAGCAGATTCCTTCAAGTAGAGAACCGTTGAAAATGTGCCCCTTACTCTAGAAATGATGTGACGATAACTTGGAGCCTTAATTTGAACCGATAAGTGTGCAACTGCTTGACACTTGTAAGTGCGTAGTGTGAAACTCCGCCGTTGAACATTCCTATAGATTGAACGTTTACCCTTGCAATAAGTGCACGATTACCGAGTTGAGCACTTGCACCTGCACTACTACTACCAAGCTGCACTCTCGGTTTATCACTGTACCTGTATCTATTCCCTTCATGTAATACTTATAATACTTCACTAATTTCCAGTTGTTTGCTGCATTGGTCGCTGAAATGAACCCGCCGTGGCGACCCACACGCCTCGAGGGCTCCGGCGGTGAAGCTCTGGACCCGGAGCGGCCACCACCACCACCACTGCCCCGTCGCACCGCCCCGTCACACCGTCGCATCGCACCGATTCGTCACGCCGCGCCGCGCCACGCCGTCACGTCGAAACGAAATGACGGCGCAGCCGAGGGGTAATGAGCGAAAAGTAGTGGTCCGGTGGATCCGCGGGGAGCGGACGGGCGAGGCAGAAGGAATCGCAATGGTGATGGGGCAAGGGCGGCGATACACGATTATAGAAACACCGAGGGGGGTACACGTGTCACACACACAATAGGCTTCAAAGCTATATAATAGGGTGGTGGTACAAATATCATGCCCTCCACCTTCCATATTATAGGAACACCGAGGGGATATACATGTGTCACACACACGCAATAGGCTGCAAGCTACGAGCCATAATATTAGAGGGTGGGGTACAAATATCATGACCGGGGTACAAAAAAAAATCCCATGAGATCTGTGAATGTGTTGCTGTGGTGTGGTTCTTATGTGGAACCTTACGAGGGTGCCATGATATTTGTACCCCCGATACAACACACTCCATACAACATACATGCACTACATCCCACAAAGACCATAAAGGATTTCGCAATTATTATTATTACTGTTATCATTAGTAATATTATTACTCCTATTACTGTTCCCGTTGCGGATCGCACCCACACCACCGCCACCGCGTGTTCCGCAGGACATGTGGGTGCCCTAATGAACTGATCGTGCGGCAAAGGCGTGCCCAAGGTCTAGGGCGCGCGAAGGGCTTAGCTGTGGCAGCCGGGAGGGGGGGGAGGGGAGGGGTGCAATCGACGGGCCCCGCAGCGCCCCGTTACCTTTCGTTACGTCTCCTTGCGTGCATCGGGCGCGCCCCGACACGGCCGGCCGGGCACCGCTAGGCCAAATGTCGAATGAGAGCAATTACACAGACACCCCCGCTGCATCCAAACAGTCGGGGCCCTTATCCCCCCCCCCCCCCCCACCCTGCTGCCGGAAGGCGCGCGGGCCGCGCTCGGCAGAGGTACTGCATCGTCACCAGCAGCCCCTTCCCTCTACTCCTCGGCGCAATCCCGCCCGCTGCACTGCCCATGGCGTTGGCCTCCTGGCGCGGCGGAGGGAGGCTGAACGGCTCGGCGACGAGACAGCACGGCTCTGCGGCCACAGTCCGGCGCCCAAGTCCAAAGGATTTTTTTGGCGTGGCAACTCAAAGAGTGTGAATGTCGTACACTTGCAGGTGTAAATATTCCAATAATACACTGTAAAAAATACCGTCGTAAATTTACACAAATTTTGTAGACTCGAATTATATTTTAAGTTGTAAATTTACGACAGCACATATTTTACTCGCCAAGGGATTTGAAGTTAAAACACACTGCACTGAAAAAAAAATACTGTGGTGCTAAGGACAGCTGTAACACCCCCAAGAACATTTTGCTCTTGGATCGGCTTCAAGAACATGCGTTCTTGGAGCCTGTTCTTGGGCTATGTCGTTGGGTCTACAGACCGGACGTCACTGCGGCAGTGACATGTGTCTTTGGGATGAGCCATTCTTGTAGTTAGTTGAAATACGGACATGCTTTGGCACTTGTCGTTGATTTCAGTACAGTGTTTGGTAATACTTTTTTTAAATATTTAGTATCAAAGATCCAGAATAATTTTAGCATTTAATTTTGATGGCGGTAAGCTAAAGATGCATTGGCGGGAGCCAGCGCAAGTTGGGCACTCTCTGACATGCTGCCAGAGGGCGACGATTTGTCACCAAGTGCCAAAAATTGAGCCACACATGCACTCCCACCTAACAGGTTACAGCGCGCGACAGACGCTTTTGGAAGTGGAGCGTCTGAGCAAGACAAGTAATGGAGACCACGACGGAAGTGATCAGCGAGAGCTAATGTTGAATGCCATCTAGCGGCCTCTTCGGAAGCTGGCCAATCTTACAACATGGAGCCACGCACTGCCTGCCGCCAGGGGAAGCACCATCGTGCGTCTCGGGCAGCGACATACTGTCCTTGGGCTACCGGCTTCTGTCATTGGTCTAACGTCAACCACCTACGACAAGCCACAGCAACACGCCTGTCCTTAGCACCACAGTATTTTTTTTTCAGTGTGCATGTATTTTTACGATTACAAATTGTAATTTTCCAACTTTGCGTCAAGGAAAAATTTTCCTGTAAACCTACCTACTTCATTTCACCGTGATTCACTTTATACACTGTAACAAATATTCTGAAATTTCAGAGCAAAATATCTCTTAAATTTAATAACATTATCAGTTGTTCTTAAACGTAATAACACATTATGATATTTAAGAAGTTTTCTTAATATTGACAACAAGGTTATCAGAATTCTGATGAAATTCTCAATTGTACTAAGGGGTCATTAAATTTCATAGCAAGTTTATTAAATTTAAAAGTTTTCCTTAGTTTTGACAAAATTGTGTTGAAAAGTCACAACCATTCTTACTTTTAATACTAGCATTCAGAACACTTCTTAAAAGTCATGTAGCTTTTGACCACTGGACATGGAATTTTGGCGTTCAA